GCAGCGCACATTGCGCGCCAACCACCGCCTGATACCGAACTCACTGCTTGGTTCAAATGAAATCATGCACATGAAAACAACGCTGACGACACAAAACCTTTATACAAAGATATGATTTTCTGCTTCCGATTCGACAAAACAAAAAAAGAATGGGTGTTACGTCGAAACGTCGCACATACCATAGGCCGCATGCACACAATTCATCCTAATTCCGGTGATACTTTCTACCTGCGAATGCTTCTTCTGTCACCTCACTCTCGCGGTGTGACATCATTTTCGCACCTCTGAACCGTTGGTGCTGAAACTCACCCCACATTCCAATCAACATGCCGTGCACCGGGCCTTCTCAACGACAATACGCAATTCGACGCTGTTTTTCGTGACGCAATCTTTACGGCATCTTCCACAATGGTTCGCGACCTATTTGTCCATATCGTCCTACATTGTGCACCCGCTGACCCCAACGAATTGCTTGAAACACAGTGACAACAAATGATCGATGACTTCCACAAAAACCTTCGTGATGCTAACATCTCGCTTCCTATCATCAAAACAATGTTTCTGCTCGACATAGAAAATCGACTTCAAAAAGAAGGGAAACAACTCAAGGATGTTGGTTTGGTCTCGCCGCCTGTTGCTGATCGCGAAGAGGCAAATCGCCTCTCTGAAAGACCACACAACAAAACATTCCACAAGTTATTGAAGATGAGATATAATACGATAAACGAACCCTCCAACACACTCTTGAAACAAATCTCCCGCTCTTGCGCCCATCACAACATGCTGTCTTCCGCCGAGTTATTGCGGCGATTGAAACTAACGAACCATTTTGTCTATTTGTCGACGCGTCAACGGGAACCCGCAAAACATTCTGCTTCAATACGATCCTTACATATCTTCGCAATTAAAATCATGTCGCATTAGCTGTCGCTTCTAGTGGCATTGCTGCCACACTACTTGACGGTGGTCGCACCTTCCACTCTCGCTTCAAAGCTTCACTCAATCCGACCGCAACTTCCACACTCGATATCTCCAAACAATCAACACTCGCAAATCTCATTCGAATGACCGTTGTTATTGTTTGGGACGAAGCGCCAATGATACATAGATTCCATGTCGAAGCCCTTGACCGAACACTTCGCGACATTTGCTCTTCTCAATCCTCTTTTGGCAACAAAACAATCGTGCTCGCCGGTGATTTCCGTCAAATTCTGCCCGTTGTTACCAAAGGGACACGCGCACAAACGGTCAACGCATGCATCAAATCGACTGTCCTTTGGCAACACTTTGAAACGATGCAACTGTCCGAAAATATGCGCGTCCTCACTCAAATGAATACTCCCGAAGGCCACCAATATGCCGAATGGCTTCTCAAACTCGACAATGGCGAACTCGAACCACCACCAAATACACAACCCACAACTGTACAACTCCCTCCGCACCTCTGCTCAGCTGAAGGCACTCACACACTAATTGCTTGGACATTTATATCTCCAAACAAAGAGTCAGAATCCACATTGGCTGGCCGAACGCCTAATCATCTCACCCACAAATAAATCTGCATCAGCCTTCAATTCTATCATTCTCGACCAATTTCCGGGTCCCTTCATCACATCACTCATCTCTGATTCTTTGCTTCCCAATGAACAATATCCAGATGTCCGCGCAGATGCTCTAAATACAATTGACATCTCGTCTTGCCCTCGCATATACTACGGATAAAAAAAGGAGCCCCTGTTATCCTCTTACACAACATTGCCATGAGGAATGGTTTGTGCAACGGCACATGTCTCATCGTCGACTCTATTACAAATAACAGACTGCTCCATGCACATGTCCTCCCATCACTTCAACCAATCCTCCTTCCGCGTATACTCCTGACTGTGACAGACCAAACCAGCCTGTTCCCGTGGCAACGTCGACAATTCCTCATTCAACCAGCGTTTGCAATCACCATAAACAAATCACAAGGCCAATGAATCAAACATGCAGGCATCAACCTCCAACAACCACCATTTGCACACGGTCAATTGTATGTTGCTGCATCGAGGGTTGGCGACCATGCACATATTCGTTTTGCAATCCCTGCAACTAACAATCAAACAACAAATATTGTTTACAAAGAAATCTTGATACATGACACATACAACTAACCACATTTCTGACTGTCTACTTCCTCTCCCGTCTCATGCAGCTCATACTGAACATATGCTCACTATTCCATCCTCAACCACTAAAACACCTGCCACCACTATTCCGCCCTCTACCACCACCTCGACTCCAACACATATTGTATACAAAGAAATCATGTCGTGAACTTTGCCAAATCCTGTCATGAACTTGACCACCACTTACTCTAATTCCTTCTAACCACCCTCACGGTTCTTTTTTTTTTCCTGCAGGTTCTCCAGAAAATTCGCCAAAAGACAAAAAGTTGAAGACCTCACCGTCAATCACTACTGCGTACATTCAGGTTTCTGCTGCTTCAACATCCGACACTTTGACCTCGATCCGTGCATCTGTTGGGCTCGATGACATCACACTCACCCAAATCCCTCTCCCGTCTTCATGCCCTTCCACATCGCAAATGACTACTTCCACCGCCACAACCTCCACACCGGTTAGATGGGATGCTTGGCTGCCTCTCATTAATAAAGATAATATCGAACAGATTATTGAGCAGCTTCTCTGGGAAGACTTCCTCATGACTGACCACGCGGCTTTCTCCCCCCACATATACGAATTCTTTTCGACTTACAAAGATAACCGCACCCGTTCTCTCCGACGTCCAGATCCTTCGCCCGATCACAACACTCATTACGCACAAACCAGAACTTTCTTACTGAAAATAATCAACGACGACTACAATCGAACACCTTCCCCCCAGACACCACGACCCCAATACCAGTATGAACGCATTACCACTGCCCACTATAAACAATCCGTCATTCGCTCTGCACCACCGCCACAACAACTCATCCTCTGCCCTCATGATGTGTATCAACCCGGCCCGCCCTGGTGGCTTCCACTCGAACCTTCGGGCGTCACACGTGCAACAACTCTCGTCCATGACATCCTTGCCTCCCGTCACACGTTGGCCATCTATAATATTCCTCACCAACCACGCACCTGGGATTACCTCGACAACCTCATTCTCCTTCATCACCATAACATGCAACAACCGCTCCCGCCCTTCTCTACATACAGAGCCAACATTGTCCACCGGGCTGTTGCATACCTTCGGGCCCTGAATCCCACACCGCCATGCTAGACCCTCTACAACTTCCTGCAACAAATTTTAACCCTCTTCCGAACACAGACAAGACATGGGCAAAACACGACAGACAGACAAAAATGGTGGACAAAACTACATACGACGAAGGAAATGCAGCCGCCAACACACCGACAACAGATGACCAAGACCAGCCACGACTACATACAAGAAAAAGAGAGAGAGAGAGAGAGAGAGAGAGAGAGAGAGAGAGAGAGAGAGAGAGAGAGAGAGAGAGAGAGAGAGAAAGACAGAGACAGAGACAGAGAGAGAGAAAGAGAGAGAGAGAGAGAGGGAGAGATTGCTGCCAAAGACAGACAATAGAGGCAGAAAGAAATAGGCGGAGAGAGACAGAGAGCGTTCAAGGCCGAGTCAAAAGGAGCGGTTATTCTCTCGTAGCGTCAACAAAGAGAGAGAGAGAGAGACACAGAAACACAGGGACAGAAAGACAGAGAGAGAGACAGAGAGAGAGAGAGAGGGACAGAGAGAGATCATAGAAAAATCTGATTGCTGCCAAAGAGAAACAACAGAGACAGCGAGAGAAAGGCAGAGACAGAGAAACACAGAGAGAGAAAGAAAGAGAGAGACAGAGAGAGTGTTCAAGGGCAAGACAAATTGAAAGGGGGTATTCTCCAAATACCCCCGTAAGTTGAAACGTATCTCAAAATGTCCCTTGACAAATATAAGCCCAGCGGAATGACCTTTTCAACTGCCGTGTTTGTGTTATGCCCCTGTCCCGTGAGTGTGTAAATTCACTATTGGCTAGCCTGTTTCACAATATGTCTTTCTCATCGTCCTTCACCGCAGCGTGGCTGCGGCTGGTCCACTTGTATTATGAAAGATAATAATAACAATAACAATGAATGAGTGAACCAGAATCAATGTGTGAATCTCCCCCTTACCGCGAGCATCACAACAGGTCATCTACACCTCTAGACTCTACTTGGCTGAGCACCTGGCTATGGCGGCAGCATCCAGGCCTAACCCGGATGTTCAAAGGATAATTCAAAGCCCGCTTGACCCTGCCTGCACCACCGCCAAGCCTACATTACTTCTAAGGAGTCTTCTCGACTTCGCAACCTAATCCAAAGGGGCCTTCCAGGTGCAGCATCAACCAAGGAGATAAAGATGTCATCCATCATACCCAAGGTAAGCTTCCTCCTTCGCTTTCCTCCTCCTCCGTTCTTCCTCCTCCTCCGTTCCTTCTCCTCCCTTCTCCACCATAGCCATGCCTTCCTCCACCTCCACCTTGGTCTCCTCCATCATAGCCGATGTGGGAGACAAGCTCCACTTTCTTCCTCCACCATAGTCGATGTGGGAGCCAAGCTCCACCTTCTTCCTCCACCCAGTGCCTCACCAGGCTGGTGAGTGCTCCTAAGCCAGACCGGCAGAGAGCAGACTGGTTTAGGTTGACATGCTTTTGCAGCATAAGAATACAAATGATATGTCCGTTCACGAAACTTTGGTTGATCGCTGGTGTGCCATTAGTCACGATTGATGTTTTTTAATAGTTGCAGCACTATGTTCAGTGCAACCTCCTTCCCACCTGCTCCCCCCCCTCTTCCCCTTCCCCGAAAAAAGGGACAAAAAACAACTACAGTTGAGTGTTTTTACTGGTTGGTAATATGCATTCCATGCGTTATGTCGTCATTTGTTGCAATGGTATGTAGTGACTCTACGCAGTCCAGTGTTTTCACTGGTGGTTGTTTGCTGTTGTGCTCTTTTGCAGCTTGAAGGAGAAGCCACTGCCCGCGCAATCAAGTTGGCTAGATTCATCAACACGCCCTTGTACGTTGTACATGTCATGAGCAAAGACGCGATGGAGGAGGTAGCCCGTGCACGCCAAGCAGGTTTGTGGAGCAGGCAGGCATTTCTCATGCGATGTGTGCCATCCTTGTGAATGGTGTGATGAAGATATGCCATTCATTACGAATTAGTAATTACTAAGTAGCAAGTACTCAGCACTGCTAAGTACTAATTACCATGAAGCACTACTACGTAGTGATAACTGATTATTGATTAGTAGTGTGATTACCACGCAGAAGGCACGAAAGAAGGAAAAGATTGGTGTTGCATGCACCCATCAGGAAACTGTTAAGTACACTGCGAGAACATGGATTTTTGAAAGGAGACTTTATACCCACGGCAAAACGTTAAATAGTCCCCATGGATCATGCTGACATATTAAGATTCTACAATCAGAGAATACTCGGAATCCTGAATTACTACTCTTTCGTGGACAATCGATCATCATTATATCGGTCGACCGTATATTTGAACACAGAACAGCTCCCTAGGTTGGATTCGAACCAACGACCCAATAGATAGGGTAAGCAGTGTGTGTAATCTGACTAAGCTTCCCTCCGAACCGTGCGTGCAAGATTTCCAAGCACACGGCTCTCCATCAATTTGGCAAGACTACTGACTGTTTCCCTTCCATTTTCATGTACTATGGAAACTCTGACGCCAAATAAAACACACAAAAATACACTGTGATTGCTGTGCGCTTGTGCACTTCTGTAATGTATATCAGCTAAAACAAGTAGTAAACAAATAAAAATAGGTATTATAGTACCATTAAAGAAAGGAGCACCAGTGGAAACTTCTCTTTGACGTAATAGATGAAAAAGCACAGGTGTCGTGGTACCACAGAGAACAACCAAACAAATTATACAAAGGAGCGTTAGCTGTAGTTTGAGAATTTGTTCGATTTCAGATAGGTGTGTTAGGTCCACATTGGACTTAGGTTCTCTACATGTGCTGGTAAGTACGTCAATAATCAACGTAAATACAGAGAAGACGTTGCTTGATGCCTTGCCACGTCTGGTCTGGTATCCCACCTACACCTCACGTTCATGAACTCCCCGTTCAACTGCATCTCGGAGACACGGTCGGAGATCTTCCAAGGACTGGCTAAATCCAGTGATCTCCTTTCACGACAGGCTATGGTCCCCGAAATGAGTTCGTCATTCCAGGTGTCTTTCATGCATGCTCCACGCATGAAATAAGTTGTGTCCGTCTACAAACTCTTTCACAGATCTCTATGCTTTGATAGGAATTGGAAGTTTTGAAACTGGTGGTATACTACCATAATGAAGTTACCTTTCATTTTTTGTATTTGGATAGGTTTTGTTTTGGCTTCTTTTGGAGGTTTCCGAAGTTTAATACGTCATCTTTCACTCTATTCTTTATTGTGGTTTATCTTCATATTTTTCGTGGTCTTTATTATGGAAGTCATTTTGCAATGTCGGCGTCAAGCACATATTTGGTTCTAATGGCTCTAGCCAGAGCTTCCATGGCATCTTGACAACTACGTCCTCGCCTAAATCCATAAGAGTGAGGTTCAAAACGGGCTTCCCATTCGGGTTCTAGAACCATTTTAGCTAATGCCTGTTTAGCTCGATCCGCAAGAAAAACAAGGTCTTGCTTTCAAAGAATTATGGTAAGATGCGTGCACTTCAGACAAGAGTGGCACAAAGTTTACACGCCAGATTGTTAGTCGTTCGACGTGTCACTATGGACAACTCTTCGACGAGAGGAAAAATGGAATTAGTTCGAACACTGAAGTTCGATGGCCAAACTTGGACGGGACGGAACCACTTCCTTTTTCTTGCGGATCGAGCTAAATTGCCCATTACACGGCTCACTAACTCTACTTGCTTTGAGTTCTCTTACCTATTTGGCGGGGTTTCACTGGATCAAGTGACCAGTTTCCCCCATGGACTTCCAGGCAACCTCAGGACACGAAGTGGGCGAAGCCGAAGGCCTGACTTTAGTGAGTCCACGCAAGAAGAGACATTGGATCTTGTAGGATGGTCTGTAAGTCGTGTAGGTTCTGCAGCTCAATTGAAAGCTAATAAGACCTCCTAATTGTAAACCACGTAAGGCCGAAGGCTTTCCATAACCTAAACCTTTGATTGTCACTTCAACTGGCTTAATTCCTAATGGAATAGCAGCACGCGCTACATTCTCAGCAGTAGCTTGAGCAACATAATTGGTTGAACGACGAGATCCTTTAAACCCCACTGAACCAGAAGAGGACCAAGATTTGGTATCTCCAAAAGAATCTGTTATGGTAAGTATGGGATATGTTTGGTGTGTATTTTTCCAACCATCCTGATTTACGTAGTCCCATCCATTATACCAAAGAGTCGTCAAGAAACCTTAGCTCTTCGGTGGATTCTTGAAGGCGCCTTGTGGAGATGACGTTTGACAAAAAAAAACATAAGTTTAGATCAATCTTTATCTGCTGAAATATAGGATGCTTCGAAAAAACAAGGATTTGCTAGAAAAAAAGGGACTTCGTTATGGTATGATTTTGTTCATTGTGTCAGAAGTAATGTTTTTTGTAGCTTTTTTTTGGGCTTTCTTTCATTCAAGTCTGGCGCCTACTGTAGAAATTGGAGCTGGTTTCGGTAGGAGATGGAATTGCAGGTGTTTATGGATTGAACAAGATTCAAGCTGGAGAAATGGTCATTTTCCACTGGTGCATGTGAAACAACTTCAGGTGGTTAGTATAGTCGCCTTGAAACAAGTTGAAGGTAGAGTCCGTGCTATGTAGAGAATCTAGAGATACATAGAGTGGTAATAGTGTATGTATACTGAGCAACAACAGGCTCGAGCCGGCTAGTGGCCAACATAACAATTAGAACGTCGTGAGACAGTTCGGCTCCTATCTACCATTGGTGATTTGAAGAGAACTGATAGCAGCACTCACCGTGTTTGTTCTCTCCTACTGTTGACAATCTGACTCATTGTCATTCGCTGATTGATTGATTGATTGATTGATTGATTGATTGATTGATTGGTTTGGA